ATATATTATCCATTATATTATTATATTATATATTATTATATTATATTATTATTATTTAATGATTGAAAATTAGCTTTTTCAATTGTAAAAAACATAAAGAACGTTTTTAGAATTCTTTCATTTTGACAATCGAAGCTTTTTTATATATATGTATATTATGTGTAATAAAATATAAAATAAATATACTAACAGCCATCCTTGCCAGCCGGGATTGCACACACAAGTATAGTTGGCGATTCCGTCGACGCACAGTGCGTCATTTTGACACTTGTTGTCGTTGCACTCGTCAATATCGAAGGAGCAATCATCCTCGGCGTATCCGGCAGGGCATTCGCACACGTAACTGTTTGCCATATCGAAGCAGGTACCATTATTTTTGCAGTCCGTGTCGAAGCACAACTGACAACCGATACTATCGAGATGGGTGGCATTATCGTTGATCTGCAATGTCAGAAACTCCAACGGCGTAAAATTCGCGTTCTGGTATATCTCGTCGTACGAGAAGTAGTGTAACAACATGCTGCCAATGCGCACTTCGCCTAGACATCCTTTGAACGGTTCTTCTGCAAAAAGAAAAACGAGAATGTGTAATCTTCTACTTCTAAACAAACAATGGTTTAACATAGAAAAAAAGAAAAGGAAGAAATAAAAGTAAATAGTTTCAAATAACGGCTCGGCGATTCAGATTAAATAATTGAACCATAGACTCTTTGGATCCTTTCCTTTTAATTTGAGATAAAAGTAGAAAAAGAAACAAAAAGGACTTGGAATAGTTTCTTGTCAGAGACAAAACCGATTAAAAATGGTAAAAAATGTATTTTCAAAAGTTAATCAACAAGTTCTGTATTTAGATACTACACTCACCGGAAATAATGCCACTTTGCGGCGGTGGAATGGTCGTGAGTTTATGTTCGTTATAATCTACGCTATTTCCCTCTTCGATTCCGTTTCTTCCCTCATATCTAGATCCAACGGTGACGTATGTATCCCTATCGAAGGACAAAGAACTGGAAAGTCCACCGAGAATAACTGTTCCGGTTACCAAGAGATCGTGCCAAAGTTGGAAATTGAAATTGGAATTCGCACGAAGTTGGTCTTCGGCGGGATTGGTGAAACCGCATTCCAGAGAGTTGTTGTTCAGTTTGATCAGCAACGAGGTCCAGTTTCCATCAGGTTGAGACTTGGCAAAAGAGACGGTGTTGTAATTTTCCTCGTCAAGCCGCCAGAACACGGTGACGACGTCCTTAAGGACGGACACGGTGAAATGTTGATCGCCCACATTAGGCGTCATGTGGAGCAGAACGCCACCGGTGTTGGATCGATAAGTGATTTCGATGGTGTCGAGGGTCGAGTCACTGGTGTTTGTGTCGTCGGCGCGACCGTACGAGTACGCGAAAACGGTCGAGACACCGTCAAAAGTTGCGTTGGCAATGCACTCGTAACCGTCGTCAAGATTTTGACAGCGCGATCCCGCGGGACAGTCTTGCAGCTGACAGAACTCCATCTCCTGACAGGTCTTGCCGGTGTAACCGCGCGGACACTCGCACCAGAAGTCGTTCCACGTAATGTGGCACGTACCGTTGTGGTTGCACGGACTGCTCACGCACACGTTATCTGATACTACACCCTCGAGAACTTTCTCGTGATCGAAGGAAACGTTACCGAATTGAATAAGCGTAGGAATATGCGTGTCGTGTGCCTAAAAAAAAAAAAATTGCAATGGCATACATGAGTTTTGAATAGAAATGCAACAATAAAAGAGTAATAAGAGTAATAAGAGATGATCAAAAGATAAATAAAATAGACCAAATCAAACAAAACGTATCTTTTTTTTTTTTGAAATTTTAGACAAAAAAAATTTGGTATAAAAATATCTTATTTAGAATACGAATTATTAAAATTACACGCTAGTGAAGTTTAAAAAGATCAATGGTTCATAAAAGAATCATGCTAATAAAAATGAGAAGATTTTTAGAGTCACCTTTAACGGGAAGAATTCCACAACCATCGTTTTCGTGCCGTTCGATATTTGCACATCCTGAATTACGCCTTTGAAGTTAATCTGCGGCGCTTGCTGTACTTCCATCTGTCTACTGTCGACCTGACGAATATATCGTGACACCTGCGGCAGACCACCTAGATAGAGTACCGTCACGTTCAGATCTCCCGTGGCACTGATGGTTTTGCGGAAATGTTCAGTGCCATTGATCTTGACTTGGACGAGAGTGACATTTCTCACTACTTGAATCAGATGATTGTTTCCATCGTTAAGTTTCACTCCACCGACGGTATAAGCCTCGGTACCGTTGAACTGAATTCTCACAAGCAGTTCTCCGCCTTCTAACTGTGCCGCTATGTAAGTCCTTTCCTGGGGTTTTTGATCACCCTGAAAATCCGGCTCCGTGCCCAGATAGAAAATGTCACCGCGTGTCTCGCGTGTGCGAATGAACATTGAAATATCGACGACCGAGCTGACGCTTCGCCTGGCCGCTTCGCTGACCTTCACGGTCACGTACCCGTTCGTGATGTTCTCGTAACCGAAAGTTGCAGCAGTCATGTTGTACTGACAGGTGTGACCGAGATAAGGACGCTCGCATTTACAATAAAAGTCGCGCCAACGATCAGTACAGTGGCCGCCATTTTTGCAAGGATTAGGCGAGCATTGTGCCTCACGAGGACAACCGGGCTCCACGTCCTCTATGTATACCGTCTTCGACGTGGTGCCGGAATAGACCTAAAATATGTGTAAATTTGTAAAAGATTGTCGCGCAGATTTGCAGAAATCGGTAATAAATATTAGTAAAATCGAAATTAATAAAAATAAACGTTAAGAGGGTACTGGAGCCCGGCTTGTAAACTGGATAGAGACCTGTAAACCGACGTTTTTATAACCTAAATTTCTTTATTTTTTAATTTTATTTACTGCACAACATTAAAAGAGCTTCTACAGAAGCAAATAAATATACAAAACTATATGAAGCTTTTGAAAATGTGTATATAATGCTTTTTTGAACTTGTTTTTCATTCANAATGATAGTATATGGTATCAAATACACATCATCACGAACTCAGATTTCTCTCATCAATGAGATAGTCAAATCATAATTTGAATAGCTCATTCGATTTGTTTTTGTCGTATGTTNGGCGGTAATTCAGTACAAATACGTACATAAGCTTAGAAATAATTCTACATATATGAATATATGGTGAGGTTATAGAAGAAAACTGTCTAAGAAAAAATTTGTGCTGAATTTTGACACATTCTAAAGCACACCAGCCAATTCTTAGCACAATTTACTTATTTCTGAAGAAGCATTTTGGATTTGATGCAGTAAATACGAAACAGAATCTGATTTAAGAACGTCGGTTTACAGGTCGCTATAGTCGGTATCCAGTACCCTCTTAAAGAATAAATTGAATGTTGATAAATAAATATTAAACGTTTACCCATTCGCCGTTAATGACGACATCTTCCATGCATCCGATGAAAAAGGTGAACGACGGTAAGCGAGATAATCGTCTCAAAAAGCTGAAAGAGCTGATGTGACTGCCACCCACGTAGGTTGTGGGAAAGGACGTGTGATTCGATGAATTAGAACCCTCGTTAGGACTGATCGGATAGATGGTCTGTTCCTCGTTGGCTGAGAGAACGAGATGTGTCGCGTTTATCGCCACAAAAGCTTTCTGCCACGTTGAATCGTTGAGACCGCTACCGACGAAAACACCGTCCCATTTATTTAAGATACTACTGTGGATGTTGAGCTTGCCGTTTACCAACTGGAGAATGTAAATGGTCACACCCTTCCCAATTGCCAAAAGACCGTTCGGTAGAGTAGTTCTGAAGCGGAACTGAATGTCGTAACCCTCGTCGCGTGTTGTATTTACTAAGACGTACGAACTGCCACCCAAAGACATCGTTGTCACCTGCGAATTTGTTGAGTGACAGTCAAAAATTCTGTCAAAAACGCGACTGCAAGATTTTTCTACACGTTTTTACGCACCTTTTTCCACCCAAAACGCTTAGGACAAAAAGTAACGAGTGCGATAAAGCATATAATTAAAGCGTGTGAGTGCTGATTGCAATAATATGTAATTATTGAAAATTTTCAATCAACTCAAAAGACAGTGCCTTTATATTTTCAATAATATAAATTATCACATTGCAAATTTTTTAATAACATTGCGTAATATTTTATGCATTGTCGTTTAATTTATATGTTTATATATCTTAAAAAATTTAATATCTTCTATAAAACATTTTCAGTAAATACTCACATAATCGCAGACTTCACCGTGATAGCCGTTGGGACAAGTACAGTTAAACTTGTGAATGGTCTCGTCGACCAGATAGGGCCAACAAGTGCCGCCGTTCTGACAAGCGTTGCCCTGACAGCCGATCAGTTTGACCGAACAATTTTTGCCCCCGTACTCCGAGTCGCAGGTGCAGAAATAATCGGCTCTGCCATCGGTGCACACACCGTGCTCGCAGGGATTGTATCTCTTGCACTCGTCGATCTCGTGTTGGCAATGATCACCTTCGTAACCTTCGTCGCATTCGCAGGTGTAGCCGCCGATGCGATCCATGCAATTGCCCGGACCGCACGGATTGCTGTCACACTCGTTGATGTTCACCTCGCAATTCTTACCGGTGACACCTTGCACGCAGAGGCACTCATACCTATCGAAACTCACAGAACTCAAGTATTTCGAAGAAGAAGAACGAAGAAATAATAAAACGAAAAAATTTATTTATGAAGGCTCACCCGCTGGCGTTGGCGTAACTGAATTCCTGATTGAAAATCGCGGGTAAGTTCTGAGCCTCAGTCTTGTAGAGTTCTCTGTTCGATCGTTCGAGACAAGTGCCGTTGTACTGACAAGGCGAGCTCTCGCACTCGTCCACGTCTATTTCGCAATTTCGGCCAGTGTATCCGACGTAACACTGACACTTGTAGTTCTTGACATCGTCCACGCAAAGTCCGCCGTTTTTGCACGGTTGCGACAGACACTCGTCAATATTCTTTTCGCAATGCAGACCCTACAAAAATCCAGAGTTTGAAAATTTCATTACAATACAAAAATTATATAATTCAAAAAATTAATATAATTTAATAAATCACATAGTACACAGTTAATATACAATATAAATAAATTATATAAAATATAAATTTGGTTAATTGAAACTCTTACCTCAAAACCAGTATCGCTACAATCACAGATGTAACCGTTTTCGCCGTCGATGCACTTGCCGAAGTTTAAACAAGGTACTGATTCGCATTCGTCGATATCGATCTCGCAATTTGCGCCGGAGAAGCCCGGCGGACATACGCACGTGTACGTCGCCACGCCGTTTATGCACTGACCCCTATTCACGCACGGATTGCTATCGCACTCATTTACATCAACGTCGCAAGTCTTGCCGGTGTAGCCAGCCGGGCATTGACACTCGAACGTGTTGATCCCGTCAATGCACGTGGCGTTGTTTTTGCACGGACTACACAGACATTCGTCAATGTCAATGTCACAATGATCACCGGAGAAACCTGGTCGACAAAAACAGTTGTAACCGCCTTCGGTGTTGATGCAAATACCGTTGTTACACAGGGAATTGCCGTGTAGCTCGCACTCGTTCACGTCGAGATCGCAGTACTGACCTGCAAGCATAGTATTTCGATTGCGATTTTTAATTTTCGTTGATTCATTTTCGCACAGACAAAAATGTTTGTACGTAGTCGTTCTGGATCTCTAACTTGCCTTGAAAACCGTTCAAGCACTTGCACTCAAAACCGTGCTCGCCGTGGTCGATGCATGTGCCGTTGTTGCACGGTTTCATGGCGCAGTGATCTATGATCAGCGTGCAATTAGGGTCCCTGTAACCCTCCGGGCATTTACATTCGTAACCATTGATACCATCCACGCAAACTTTGTCATCCGGACACGCCACGCCTAGGCAATCGTCGATATTCACGTCGCACACCTTGAATCGGTAATTGTAATTTTGTATCTTGTCACGAATGATTTATACGTGTAACATAATATTGCAACACAAACAGAGCAACAAACAAGTAAAAATAAGCAGAAAGAAAATTCTCTAAATATCTGTCAATATTAAATTATTTTATTTCTTTATTATTTAAACGCGTGTGTATTCTAATAATATAGTTGCAACTATACCTTGCCTTCGAAGCCGTGTGGACATTCGCACACGAAGTCTCTTTTCGATCTTGAAATCAACATACACGTGCCGTTGTTCTGGCAAGGATTTATGACGCAGGCATCGTATTCCCGTTCACAATTTTCACCTATAAAATCTCTGGTGCAGTTGCAGATGTAACCATTGACGCGGTCGATGCAGACACCGCCGTTTTGGCACGGTTGTGAACGGCATTCGTTAATACTGGTCAGACAGGTCTTTCCTATGAGGAAACAATGCTTTTAGAGAAAGAATTTTTGTTGAAAAACCTGGCTGAGAGACGGACGGAACATCCGACACAACGATTTACAATTTACATTTCTTAACTCTTCAAGGACAGACGTGGGTCTCCCAGACCCACTAAAAAATTGCGCATCGGCGTTTTTTTCTAGACAAAATTGTTTTTTAATTTTTTAGTCTTTTAAAAATATATCTTCGAAACTACTAAGGATTTTTTTCAACTTTGTTTTTTTTTATCGATGCAGAATCGTTCAACCTTTCGATTAAAAAAAAAAACGTAATTGAAACAATATATTGATTTTTCGCGAAGATATTAGAAAAACAAATAAAACTATTTCTTCTTTTAATAAAACACTTTGTCAGTGTTAAAATTTAAATGTTGTTAATAAATTGTGAGAATTAACGTTACAAATTTAGAGAAAACACATGTTGTGTTAATCCTTTCATTAATATGGGCGCCCGTAGGCGCTTCGAAAGTTTGTTCAAGATATGCCTTTAGGCGCCTAAATCAATATCGCTCACATAATGCCAGAGGCGCCTTCAGGCGTTCGGTATATTTATTAAGTAAAACTTAGGTAATTTCAACCATCATAATTTCGATTTCTCGTTTACAGACGGGCCAGGAAAATGGTTTTCTCCGCTATTGACAATTCCCCGAATATTCTTGAGTAACTGCACTTGAGAAAATGCGCGTCTATCCCTATTCTAAGAGTCTAAGAGTCTAAGAGAAAGAGAAACATATATATTTGATCTGTTGTTGCCAGTCGGTCGCTAATTGAAAGAGAAAAAAATAATTTCGAATTTTCTACGAAGAATCGGTCCCGCGCGAAGTTCTATTGTGTCAGCATTTATGTATTTTCATATTAATGTAATGTAAAAATTAATGCAATTTAGATTGTTTTGACAACTTTTGTACTTTCTATAGAACGACTTTTATACTCTGCGCGTCAGCGAAAAAAGTTTTTCCATCTGTTACGCGCTGTCACTCTGCATTAGATTTTCGCCGCAGCGAAAGGGATTAATTTTTGATTTCAACGCAGTCTCTTACCTCTCCATTCGGGTAGGCAGGTGCAGTTGAAACCGTCTCTGCCGCTGGTGCAGGTACCGCCATTGGCACATGGATTACTTGCGCAGTAATTTACAGTGCAATTGGGCGGATTGCCCATGAAGCCCGGATTGCAGACGCATTGGGGTCCGTGCACGTCTTCCACACAGATACTGTTGGGCGGACAAGCCGCGTTCTTGCAAAGATTCCTGAGTTCGCAGTGACGACCCGTGAATCCGGGGAGACATTCGCAGTGGTAAGTGCCCACGTCATCGATACACTCACCACCGTTGGCGCATGGTGTGGACAGGCACTCGTTTAGATTGAGCTCGCAGTTCTGACCCTCGAAGCCCGTCGGACAGTGGCAGATGTAACTGCCGTAATAATCGAAGCACACGCCTTTGTTCAGGCACGGATTTGCCAGGCACTCGTCGATGTCCACCTCGCAATTGGCTCCCTCGTAACTGAAGAAGAAAGCAACCAGATTAGCAATCTAATTCAATTTAGATCTTAATTTGAAATTTTCGTGAAGACTCACCCGGTTCTGTCGCATCTGCAAGTGTAATTGTTGATACCGTCGATGCAGATGCCGTCGTTCTTGCACGGGTTCGAGGCGCACTCGTTGATATTGGTTTCACAATTTTTCCCGGTCCAACCAGGCTGACACTCGCATTTGTACTCGCTGTCCGTTATCGCTATGCAAACACCGTCGTTTCTGCAGGGATTCTGCTCGCACAGTCGCACTCCTAACTGCGATTCACAAAGACTGCCAGTGAAACCGGGCTTGCAGCTGCAGCTGAAGTCGCCTCGCGCGTCTTCGTTGCAAGTGCCGCCGTTACGACACGGACCGTTTTGACAAGGTGAGCCTGAAGAATACGAAAGACGTTTACTATATGCTTTTTGACGCACGCTTGTGAGAAAAGATACGAAAACCGATTGCATGCGTAACAGAAATTAAAATATCGCCGCGCATTTTTCAATTATTCATATTGATTAAAATTAATTAAATATACAAATACGCGCATAAAAATTATATTTGAAAGAAAGAATCAATATTAAACGTTTGTATATAATAGACGCAAAATTGTTAAAATATAAATAGCTTCCATTAATTTTGTTCGAACAAAATATGCATTTTCGGACGTTTATTTTTTATACACGCGTGTAGAAACGCTCGCGGATTCTCAATTATGCGTTATTTTTTCTTATATAGCGCAATGTAGTTTCGTCATTTCATTTACTTGAATTTATTTCATTCGTTCGTAAACTTGAGATAAATGATTTTCTTGAAAATCACTGCTGAGATAAAAAGATAAAACAGACAAGAAGAAAGGCAATTATTCAAACCTACAATCAAGCATTATTTTAGAAGCAAATATTGTTTTGCTCGAAGAAAAAGAAGCGTTAAGCAATTTTTATTAGTTTCTAAAACAGAAATAGATCTGCAGACTGTATCTCTAAAAAAAGCAGAAATAGATCAACACAACATGCAGAGAAATCAACAGCAAAGAACAAACCTACATTTCATACCCAATTTATTACAGCGGTACAATTGTTTAATATCAATATTAAGATCGTAAAAAAAATTCGCGTCTGAATTGTTTATTTTATGTTTTAATTCACGTTGATTTTTTTGTAAATGTAAAATTGAGTTCTGCAAGGTTGCCTCATTAAAAATGTATTTAGAAAATCTAGAAACGCGACTCTCCATCGGAACATCATATTTTTTTTTCCGTCACGGCGCAATTATCGTCGCCGTGATGTAATATTTCCGTTTTACGTGCGCGTTGGGTATGAATCCGCTCGTCCTACATACACCCGTAAACCCCGTGTATCGTTATTCGAGTTATCGACGAGGTCTACCATTGTCAATCTCGCAGTTGTTGCCGGAGTATCGGGCGTAACAGTGACACTCGTAGCGGTCCAGCCGCGACACGCATTTACCACGCATCATGCACGGCTCGTGATGACAGAAATCCGTGGAGGAGGAGGAGGTCGTGGCGATGGCTCCTGTGCCGCTCGCGCCACCTGAAAATTGTTTTGTCACAAAACGTGCAACTTTTGGATTTTTCCTCTTTTCCGCTATATTCCTCTCTCTCTCTCTCTCTCTCTCTCTTTTTCTCTCTCTCTCTCGCCGCATTTGGATACATATTGTTTGTCATATTTCAAAGCCGTAAACACGGTAAATATACGCGCGTGTGTGCTTTACTCGAAAAACAAGTGCGACTTTGCACTCACATAATCTAATTCTCAGGAAGATAAAAAGATGACAAAGAAGAAATCGAAAAAAATTACAAAAAAAAATTTCATTTTCAAAATTAGACAAGAATAAAAGTAATACGCTAGCTGAAATAAAATATTTCTAAGTCATAGTACGACTTAAGTCTAGCCTAAGAGTGTAATTCTACTGATTTGTGTGTGTAACAACTACATTATACTGATCTATCACACATTGTGCCGCAAAATTACTCAACTTACTTTTTTTTGTTTTGTATAAGAGAAGAAAAACTGTTTTCTACTTTAAGGTATTAAAAAAAAAAAAAAAAGTTATCGTGTTTCAAAGTATAGTAATTAAAACGCTTCTTACATCCTTTGCTTTCCGGACAGGGCCCGAACACAGCTCCGTTATTGATGCTGCCGTTGAATAGAAGCCCGGGTCCTTGCAAAATGCATCCTTTGAATCCTTCGCCGACTATAAGTATGCTGTCTACGTTGTAATCGGGAAGTGTCAGGATGGCAGAATTGAACGTCGCATTTGCAACCATCTGAGGAAAATATTAATTGTGTTACTGTTAGAGAGAGGTAACGAAAAGAAAAAAAATATCCGAAAAGAAAAAACAGTATTTAAGAAATTTTTTTTCCATCTTTTTTGATTCAGTTTACGCGCTATCGATAATGTCGTTGACCAAAAACCAACGGAATAAATCGCAGCTTTGTTTTGATTTAACGTTGTAATTAGAGTAACCTGAGTGTGTCCCGCGGCGTTTAACGTAAGATTGCCAAGTCTGAAGAACAGATTAACGGTATGCCAGGCATTGTTGAGCAATCTGGCGTTTAACCGGGCCCTGTATCTTTGCTGATCGATCACGGCCACGAACAGCAATCCCTCGGGCGTCACTTCAAGACTAATCGAATCATCGTTGTACTTCTGCAAAAACAACCGGCCGGGATCGCAAGTGCGAAAACTGAGACCGCTGTGACGGTGCACGGATACGAAGGAACTCAGCTTCAAAAATGCCGAGCCGTTGAAATAGGCCTCACGTGAATGCTGCTCGTAATCCCGACGCCTGAGATTTTGAGGAGCCCCCTGTATGATAACCAACAAAGTGGTCAAAACTGTAACAGACAAATAAAAATTTCATTAGAGATCTCACGTTTTAAATTCTCTGAAATATTTTATCTCGCATTATCAAACGAAGTTACTTTCCGTGTGGATTTTAAATTTTATTGTAATTGTGTGTGTGTGTGTATTTTTTTTCTCTGTGATCAAAATGATAATTTAGATTTATTAATTTTGGAATTACCAAATAAAAAAGCTGGAGGTCTCACCTCATATCTCATTTTATTTATTAATTTTGATTTATAAATTATAAGCGTGTACACAGTTTAACATATATGTATACGTAAAGCATACATGTATATTAATTTATAATTGAAATGGAGAACAATTAAACGAGGCGAGGCAATTAAGAGGAGAGAGAAATAAAAAGAATAAAAAACAGTTTGGCATGCGCAGTTTGGCCCAATTTTCGTTATCACTCTCACGTTCGCAATATGTCGTAAGATAAAAACTAACATGTGCATTATCGAACGTTAAATTGTTACGCTCTTGTGTACTGTAGCCGCGATAATCAATAACACAACTATGTAGGTCTGTGCCAGTTAAGACAATTGCTTGAAAACGACGAATACTTTAATGATCTATATTCATCTTATTGGTTTATTATTTTTAACAGAAATATTCAATTTTTTTACTGTATTGATTATTATTATTTTTTAAATTTATATTCTTTATTTATATTGTGTTTTATTCTTATTATATTTAACGCAATTTTAATTAAAAGTATTTAATATAACGCAAATAATCAAGTATTTTTATATTTGCGTTGTTATTAATAAACATAATTATGTTATTAAACATAGTTATGTATAATTATGTTATTAAACATAATTATTAGTATAAACAATTATAATTATTAGTATAAAGAATGTCTTGTGATTAAATTTTTTATAATCATTAGTATAAATATTTTTTATACAAAATTTACTAAATAGAGAAATGTCGCCATTAATAAGTAAACTCCGTAAAAGAAATCACCGTGAAAATAAATGCATTTTCGTCCCGAACAAGTGCATTCTTATTTTTATCGATGGAGGCCACACATCGCGAAATCCGTGCGCTTTAAAAAATTTATTAGACCGTCTGGTTATTATTGTCCTCGAAAAATCTAAAACTGGCTTGACTTCGATCGATTGATTCGCTTGCTTGTAAATAATTGCGAATTATAAGGAACAAAATTTCCCCTAATTAAAATGACATTTTTCGCGGTCGCAATCTATACCGTGATTGAGATCGAGACATCAGGATTACAGTAATTCACGGTCAGAATAAATAATTAGAAGAATTTGTATAAGGATCGGGATTATGTTATTGATAAGATTTATCAATACAATGGAAATTCTTTTCGAGAATCTCGCAATCTCGCAATTAGCCGCAATGCTATAACACGATAAAAAAAGTACGATAAAAAAAACTCATAAAAAATGATTAGATAAGGTGAGCGTATTTTCGTCGCCAATTTCGGGACACTTTTACTTTTGTCAAAAAAAGAAGAGAGAGGAAAGGAAGCGCTTACGTTTCTACAAAGGTGCAATAACAAAATACACATACAAGAATTTCTATACAAGTATGTTTATTTATAAGCATGAGTCTCATCTTTGGCATTTCTCAGTTCTATGAATATTTCTTAAAATCTGTTTTTTGTTGCCAAGTATTTAAACATTTCAACACACACCTTTCGTCATAGTTTATCCTATAAGTGTTCCCCTTTTAGAATTTCTACGCTCACTCTTGACCAAAATCGGGAACAAATCGGGAAAAATAATCGGAACGAGATCAAAGATCGGATGGTCACCTCAAAGAGGAAACTCTTTATTGATAAAACTTATCAAGCGCTGTTGGAATCCATTTGGATGTGCAAAAGTGGAACTATTATATATATTATATGTAATATTAGAATTAGACCTTGCAAGTTTTGAAAGTGCGGCGCTGACATCACGACGCGAGCGAGGTAAGCAGCACGAGAAAATCGCGATTTATCACGTATGCAACTATCTGCGATAGATGTGTGTTGACTTACATAACTCCTACGTATGCACAGATACTCTCTCTTATTCGAGCGCTATTATTTCTAAGGATGAACTTTTTACGATTTCTTCGAGCGCGCGCCTCGTATACGTACGCTCACTCGTGAGAAAGGATTCATTCATGCGTGCGCTTCGCGTGTAAAATCCGTAGTGTCGTGTCGTCCAACACACAAATGTCGATTCTGTATATTGTTTTTATTGTGGAAAGATCCGATCTCTTGTGTGTATGTGTGTGTGTGTGAATCATTTCACGGATCTTCGATATGTAAGTCGTTCTATGTTACATAGAATTTTTTATTCCCTTAGAAAATTTATCGAAACACCTGTCGGGATTAATAAAGCTGAGATTTTTCACGATACGCGCGCCCGTATACGTGACTCGGGAAGAACTCACGTGCGCGCGTGTTCCGCATGCGAAACGCACATGAACGTGCGTGGTAAAAATTCTAAACGCACAAACACACATATGGGAAGTCTATCGGCGCTCACGTTTTGACGACACGTTTGAGAACTACCGGAAGTCAATCTTCCTGTATGTGGAACACACGTGTGTTGCGAGTAGCATACACACGTGTAATTAATTTGCATGAGAAGAGATTTGAGAAATTAACAAATAAAGATTTAAATAATTTCTAACAAATATTGCGACAAGTTTATTTTGATGATCAAATTGGAAAAGTGCGTTTGCACAAAATGCGGAAGATCCGATGGGTTCAACTCCTGGCCTGGAAGTGTCTTTTTCGCAATGGATGTTTTTAATTTTCATGGGGAAGAGGAAGTAAATTTAATATTTTATTTGATACAAACCAAATATTTTGAATAAATTTTCAGTTATCAAATTGAGCGATGAATCAGAGCAAAAGAAACTTTTTGCCGATAAAGGAATTCGAAAAGTTATTTTACATCACGACAACGATCGGCCGCACGTTGCAAAAGAGACTCAGAAAATCATCTTCGACTTGGATTGGGAAACTCTCTCCCATGCGGCGTCACCAGATATGGCTTCATCAGATTATTATTTGTTTCGATCGCTCCAACATCACTTGGCTGATACGCACCTCATTAAAACATTAGAAGACGTTCAAAAAAGCATTGATGACTTTATCGACTTACTCAAAACCGCCAAGTTTCTTATCGCATTGGGATTCGTCAACTGCCCGATAGATGGTTTAAGGTCATTGAAAATGATGGAGACTATTGTACTGATTAAAGTCTTTTTTGTAATTTTATAAATAGAAAAGACAATAAACAAAGAGATATAGAGGAAAATCCTCTTCGAGTTCAGATTGAAAAATTGTTTAAATTTGAGGTCAATAGGGCTTGTTGAACCAGTGTTGTTTGCAGATTGTTTTGCAATAAATTAATACACGTTGTGTGGCTGTCCCAAACGTTTCGAGTTTTATTTCAAATCTTCATCAGTGAGAGAACTAAAGTAGTATAAACAAAATTATTGTATTTATAAATAAATTTTGAATTTTGCAAAAAAAGCAAGGGATTATTTTTTATGCACCTAATTAAATAAAGTTAAATATATTTTGCACGAACATTTAGCACATTGATCAAATGACTCGTCGCTAAAAGTGATAAAGGTGTTTTAAATAAATTATATTTTGTGGAAATCATATATCGAGAAATTAATCGGCAAATTGTTTGATTCTTGTTTTTTTTCTACAATGTCTCTTTCGTCTCTTCTCGAAGACGAGTGTGACGTTTTTGTTTTCCTATAATGTGATCATCATAACTGAACATTTATTTCTCCAATCGTGAAAACAAACTGTTGTCTAACTGCATAATATTCAGCAGTTAGAAACGCGTAATGATTAATCCGTTAGTCTCGTTATCTTATTTTCGCTTGAATGCGATCGACGATTTGAGGCGCATTAAAAAAAAAAAAAAACGTCGGTAGAAAGCTGTGTGAACACACAAATTGTCTTAACTTATAATGGCATTTCGTTACGACTCTCCGAGATCGCTGCAGGACACCGAAAACACGCAAATTGCGTACGCACGCACGTGTCGCACGGATTTGCAACGAGTCGCGTTTACGATGATGAGACGTGCGATGCATTCGGAGCGATTTACGACGAATTATTGTTAGAAAGCATAACGACCTGATAATGTCGCCCGTATATAAGGATATCACGGGACATCGACAAAAACGTTCAAAATCTCTTGCGAAAGTGTAATTTTCATAACATATTTAGAAAATATGTATGTCTGTATGTATGTCCGCAATTGTGTTGCTTCGTTGCGACATTTGTGTTCCTCGGACCTTGAACTCCGGCACATAAAACTGCTCTCACTCGACATTTCCCAGGAACGTATATGCAATAACGAGATATTCAAATTTTTTCTTACCTCACACGTACGTTTAAAGAGCTCGAAGTAAACAAACAGAGAGACTTCCAAATGAATAATAAAACAGGTCACTTGTGAAACTTGACTCTCGCGCTTCACGCTGAAATTATTCTCTATTTTAGAAATTTTATGTCGCAGAGAGTCTTTTGATTAATTTTCAATCCCCGGTAGCTGGACACGCTTGTACATACGCTTATGAAACATTAAAAGTAATGGATAAATAATGAGCGCAAGGATGAGTTATAACTTTGCTCATACGAGCCACGCCTCTCTCTCTCTCTCTGTGTCTCTCTCGACGAAATTTTTTTTTCTACAAAAGATATGCTTTCCCTAGCACAAAGTGCAATCCACTTTCACTCCGAATAATGTAAATGGCTCGTCTCTTTCCTATTCTCTCAGAAAATGCCAGAGACATTTTTGCCGTGTCGGTGGTGGTGCGGAACACCTTTTGCGTCTCTCTTGTTAATTAATTCAAAGTAACGAAACATATATTCGTTTCGAATACAATTCGAGATAGATCGATTTAATATCTCGAATCGTTCGGATATTTACAGCTCGTATAATTCATCTACGTTTGAGAACTGTCACCTCACTTCGCAATCGAGTTATTA